TCCTCAAAAGAACACTCATGACTCACATCTCCCTCAAACAAAAACTCTCCAATAGAAACAACCTCATCCTCCTCTCTATCACAACAATGAACAACAACTCCCTCAAGATCCTCAAAGCCTAGAGTCTATAAACCATGCATAAAAGGATAAAGGTTTCTCTCAAACTCATCCCTTTCCCATGAAGCATTGCCAATGAACTCTCTCAAAAGACTATGCTGTTTTGTTACACCTTCAATGAACATACTAGCCATAACCTCAAATGAGTCCAAAGACTCATGGATAGAAGGCTCACAAACGTGCAAGGTAGACTGATCAAGATAGGGAAAGGGGTTGGAATCCTCAAAATCAACATTTTCTTCATTCAAAACTCTTCCACCATCACTCAAGGGACTCTCAATCTCTCTTGATTGCTCAAACTCATCATCATCTTCATGAAATCCCTCATTCAAACATGAAGATGGATCACTCACATCCTCACCAAGGGAATCTCTTAAAGGGGATGAATAAGGGGAAGGATTGAATTTAAGCTCAAATGGGGAATGAAAAGGATCAAAATCCTCTCATGACAAGAAAATCTCCCCTCAACTTCACACCCTTGCCCTACATCATCCTCAACAACACTCTCAAACTCCAAATGAGGTGCCTCACATCCATTTACATCAACCAAAGCACTCATCACTTAGGCAAGCCTCACTTCTCTCAATTTTTGTTCCTCTTGAAGCTCTTGGAGTTGTTGGGTGTGATATTGCATTTGAGAAAGAATTTGGGCGTCAATGTTATTGGGTTGAGGTTCATGATCAAAGTCAAATTGCACATCACACTAGTAGAAAAAGGCTCATTTGCGTCGCCATATTTGCGTCACTCATTCTAAAGAACGAAGCAAATGTGTATTTTTACCATACTTTAAAGTTATTTGCGTCGCTTGTTATTAAAGAAGCGACACAAAAAACAAGTGTATGTTAGCTTTCTATCATTTGCGTCGCTCTTATTTATTGAAGCGACGCAAATAATAAACTTATTTGCGTCACTCATTTACTGACAAGCGACGCAAAGAAGGCAGTGAATAAATTGCGTCACTCTTTTAATAAATGAGCGACGCAAATAACAAATTTTCAGCATTTCAGATTTTGTTATTTGCGTCGCATTTTTATTATAAAGTGACGCAAATAACTCTGTTGCACTTTAGGTTACCCATCCTGCGCTTTTTTGACCTTAGCTTTTCACTTTCACTAATTCATTAAATAGAGTTGCTTAATTTCGACCCTTCAATCCAACAAATTCGCCAAAAAAACACTCACAAATTCGCCCAAAAAACTGCAATTCCCCAGCAAATTCAACATCCAAAATCGCAATGAAGTTCAACACCCATAATCGGCAGCAAATCCGAGCAATTTTGAGCAAAAATTTAGACCAAAAACCCTAATTAATTCGAACCCTTAAACCCCAGAAAAATTGATTATTTTCGACCAAAAATCCCCCATTTCGAGCAAAAAATGTACTCAATTCCATACGAATTCGAACCCTAGAAACCCCAAATAAATCAATTAAAAATCCTGCTGAAAAAATTCGAGCAATAATTGATATTTTCAAGTGGAAAAATCGCTTAATTTCGCCCCCTAAAACCCGAGGAAGTTCAAGCAAATTACAGCAATGTTGAATTTTTGAATTTTCGAGTGGAAAAATCGCTTAATTTAGCCCCCAAAAATCGATTTCGGCTCGACATTGTTGAATTTTAGAAATCAATTTCACCTATGGTAAGATTGCTTCTATTTATGTTCAATCTTTTCATGGTAGATAGAATGTAGCATTTAACTTGAACAATGACTTAGTTTAATTTCAGGTTTAGTGTTAGTTCACTAATTAGAATTTATATGGCAGATTAATTGAATTTTTATAATTTTTAGTCATTGAATTTTCATTTAAGCATATTGCATACTTGTGAATTTCAGTCATTGAATTTTTGAAGTCAACTTTCATCTGAGCATATTGCATAGTCATTGAATTTATATGGTTGTTTTGCAATATACTACTGGTTGCTTGTTTGCATCTTTGAACAGTCTGTAGAATAGCATAGTCATTTGAGCATATTGTATAGTCCCTGAAACGAATATGTACCATACCGGCATACCCAAGCCTAAATAGCATAGTCAATAACGCATGAATAAATTGTTAACTTTGCAATTTAAGCCAGTAGTAACTTTTAAAAACTAAAAAACCGAGAAGGCGTTGCATGATAAGCCAGGCCTCTAGCTTATGTCCTAATAGAGAAGTGATATTGTAATTGGAATGCTAGGCTTAATCATCTGGGATCTTTTCAATATTATGTACGGTATAATTATGGAGCAAATGTTGAACTTTTTCTCTTTTGGTCTTTGACCTTTAGAATTAGGCGGATACTTGTGAAGGTATCACAGCCTTACAGGTTATGTACTCAGCCTTAGTTTTTCTCTGGCGTGTAGGAAATTATCTTTTACTTTCTCTATGTAGTTTAGTTAGGTAAGGAGCTTATTATTACTTCATGTTATTGGCGTAGTAGTGCAGTCAACTTGACATAGTTGTTCACCTGCAAAGCCTGCTTTTATGCGATCTGTTCTTCCACCTAGTGAAATACTATTGCACTGTTCAAAGCCTGGATCAATTTGCGGCAAAAGTTGTTTGGGGCTTTTTTTTTTTTTTTTGAAATACCATGGTTTCTTTGAAGTTTCAAACTTCAAACTAAAGTAATTTAATAGATTGTGTTCTTTTACTATGCATAATTGTTAGTGCTCCATTTGTTCTGCAAATTTGTTTGCATTTAGTCTATAGATTTTTACAGTTGCTGTTTTGCAATATACTACTGGTTGACATCAATGATTCTTTGAATGTCTTATTAAAATTATTTTTTATCATTTAATTTTTTTGTAGGCATCATCATAATGGGCGATGGGAAGCACGAATTGGGTGCGTTTATGAGAACAAGTACCTCTACTTAGGCACTTTCAGTAATGTCCTGAACTCTATTTCTCTCGTGCTCGCTCTTGTTCTATGAGATTTAGGATCACGAGCACACACACAAATACGTGGTCAGACAAAGTGATTATCATAATCACAAGGACAAAGATACTTAATATTTGGACTGTCCCTTTTGGTTTGGTCACTTTCTGTGATCATCATATATAGTATATGTTGTATGTATTCATGTCCACTATAAACAATAAGATATAAAGGAAAGGGGGTGAGTACTGTACCAGTAGATCTGCCATTAATTAAAAAATTGCTCCCACGGACTCACATGGCGTCACGTGAGTCAAATATTGTGAATACCTCTTAGGAATGGGTTGCTTGATCTGATTTTATGAAGAAAATTATTAGTATGATTAATTAATTAGGTAAGGTTTTGGTGAAAATTATAATCCACTAAGATTCCTACTCTTTGCTTGAACCCCGTCACACCTGACTATTACATATGCAGTTATGCACCCCCACCTTTACTTATAAAGATATGTAATAAAGTCAAATTTGATCAGAAAAGAAAACAAAAAGAGGATTAAAGAATAGAATCAATGCCGAATAACAACTTTTATATCACATGGCAGATTAACTTGAATCAACTATGTTGGTTTAATATATGTAATTTTTTATGGCAGATTCTTAATTATGCGGAAGTGAATTCCACAAGTTGCTCGAGGTTCTGGTTGTGGACAAACGATTAAGGCGGTAGTACGCATACGAGATTGTCTTCACTTGTGGTATATATATCTGAACCATTCTTTGCAATATTAACTTATTTGTTCTGGTTGGTATAATGATTGTGAATTGTATGAGATTTTTAATTGTGATATAATTGATTGGAATTGCAATAATACTTGCATCATTGACTTAGATACCCGTTCAGGGCTTACTCATTAGGAGTAAGTCTTGAATAGTCCCCGGTTTGGGACTGTTCTTGAATGTTCTATCTCATTTAGGTGATAACTACTTGAATTGTTTTGGATCTAAGAAGATCATGGCTCACTATTTCCCGATTGTTCTTTGGGTACATATGTTGATGGCCGATTATCTACATTGTGTGCTTGGAGAGCTATAGGGAAATGCTGCCGGATTTTCTTTAGAACTAAACTTTACAAGTAGTTATTAGTGAGATAGGACATTCAAGAATGGGTTAGGTTGGAGTGATAAGGACCTTATTGGATCATCCGGAGTTGCATTTACATGATATAAACTTTGAATAAAAATGTTTGATGCCTTATATTCTTGTTTATGGTTAAGGAGCTATATATACACATTATCTTAAAATTAATTTTGTTATTTAGTGGTTGAAAATGGATCGAAGTTGGATGTATGGTAAACGAAATTGTACAAGTTTTTTACGAGGAATTGAAGAGTTTAGCACTGTTGCCTTAAAACACCAAACAAAGAATAAATCAAAGAATATTCTTTGTCCTTGTTGTGACTGTAATAATTCGAGGGGATATCGTGATATAGTTGATATTAAAGATCATCTAATTCGTCGTGGGTTTAAAGAAAACTACACGAGGTGGACATGGCATGGTGAGAGCATATATATTGAGGCAAGTTCTAGTTGTTGTCCAAGGGAAGATGAGAATCATTGTGATGATGATAATGACCCCCAAGGTGAGGATATCGATACAGCTGATGATATTGGTGTTGAAAGTGAGAGTGAAGTGGAGAAGGACAGGATAGATGAAATGATGCAAGATGTTGAAGACCATTTCACAGAGTGTCCCTAGACATATGATAGTATTTTGAGAGCTGCTGAAACCCCGTTATATCCTGGTTGTACAAAGTTCACTAAACTTGGTGCTATTATGAAGTTATTCAACTTAAAGGCGAGTAATTGTTGGACTGACAAGGGTTTTACGCAGTTGTTAGAAGCCTTAGTAGAAATGTTTCCCGACGGGAATGAATCAATCACAATCAGAGCAACAAACAACCGACTCTCATAAATAAGAAAAAAAAGCCAAGAGGTCCTTCAAAGGGCCTAAAATCCATACCTGGGGTTCCTAGAGTGCTTGAATGGGATGAATTGTGTCGACCCATTGGAAAGTGGGCAAAAGCATACAAAATTCATGTTGGTGAAATAAGTCGTGCAAAGGTGTCTATATTGTATAAAGATTGGAATCAAGTTCCACAAGGAATAAAAGACACTTTGTGGGAAGATGTTAAGGTAATATTCACTATTATATGTTAAATGTTATACTATTATATGATCATTTTGACATTATTTGAATATGATGAAAACAATTTATTTGAATATGATGAAATTATTTACTAACTTTTTTTATTTTTTTAATTTTTTGCGTAGAGAGAGTTTCAAATCGAAGAAGATGAAGACAAGAAAAAAAAGGTCCTACGCACTTGTGATAAAACTTGGAGAGATTTCAAAACAAAATTGGTCAGTGGTTGGATCACATGTACCAGGAATATGCCGAAGGAGAAAAGAATGCCCTATGTACTCTATGATTTCATATCTGAGGATATATGGAAAACATTTGTTGAGGAGCATACTACAGATGATTTTAAGGTTTGTGTGTATTAATATCAATGATCATGCGGGTTATTAATACTTTGTTAACGGATTCTTATGTACTAATCTTCATTTATGCTCGTGAAAATAGGAAATCAGTGAGAAGGCAAGACAAAGCCAGTCTTTCAACGAATACCCTCACCATTTAGGAGCCAAATCATATGGTGAAATGAATATTGTATGGCGTAGAAAAGGGTATATTCCCACGACATCTTCAGCATCCAGTACTTCATCTTGTTCTTCGGTTGTGTCTAGTTTGCCGAATAGGACATATGCTTGGCTTCTAGCAAGATCAATAGAAGATGATAAGGGAAATCCTTATTTGCCGGATGAGAAAACAAGAGAGGTGAAAGAATCCATTGTAAGTATATAATAAGTATATGTAATAAGTCTTTATTTCAATTTTGAATATATTTTGTTAAGTTTATGTATTGCAACCAAAGTTTTCTAACTTGAAGTCATTGTGTAGGATAATTGGAGAAAGCAACAAGCTAAAGGAAACTTTGTTCCTAATAGGCATGATGATATCTTATCTCGTGCCCTTGGGAAAAAAGATCGTAATGGTCGGGCAATAGCATTTGGCAGTGGAATTGGCATTAAAGCTGTATGTGGATCCGGAGAGAGGCGTAGTGGCCGACGGGGTAGGGAATTCGAAGATGATGAGCTGGAAGAATTAGAGGCAAGAGTAGCCCGGAGGGTACGAGAGGAGACTATGCAGGAGATGGATTCTAAAATGGATTCCATGGTTCAAGAGAAGTTTATGTTATTTGCTAAACAGATAGGTATTCAAATTCCAACTGAAATGAATAACATAGGTCGGACGACTCAACAAAATCCTAGTAGTTGCCAATCAGTGGGTGATGATCCATTTGCAAACATACAGGTATCCAACACTTTGTTATTTTATATTTTGTATCTTTTTTTTAATGATTTATGACTGCGACATACTTTTAACTTTGTAACTCAATTTTCTATATTTTTTAATTATGATTTTTTTTATCTTTATAAGGAACCGGTTCATTTTCGGCTATCATTGTTGAAAAATGACTCTGAGAAAGTCATTGTAGCTGAAGGTACATATCATCCGGAGTTAATCCTTGATCATCATAGTAACCTCCTTCCGGATCACGTGAGGGTGAGTGTTGATGATTTTTTTGACGAGTTCAAAGAATTCTCGGTTCCAGTTCCTTCTTCAGTCATCAAGAAACTTAAGCATGCTCATGGTACATTTACCCAATGGCCGAAATACTTGGTTTCACTTATGCATGACAAGGTAAATTATTTTTGTAACAATTTACATATAGTTTGTCATACAAAATATAGCAAATTGTTGAATAGATTTGCTTTACTATTGATTAGGAATTCATATCAAATAAGAACAATGGTAACAACAAAGCGGTCAAAGAAAACATGCAAGACAAAATGAAAGTAGTTGAAAGTGGTCGCGAAACAAAAGAGTCCAACACCAATCCAAAAAAAGTTTTTCTTATGGATTATGCTTTGGAAAACTTATCTCAGAAGTGTGGGTCTTTGAATAGTTTGTTATCTTCATTACCCGAAGGTGAAACTATTAAGGTTAAGGCTGATGCTTGGACCTTTAGTTATGAAGACAGTAAGGACATCATTATCAAACGTGAAGATGTCAATAAACTTCTCACACGAGCTTGGCTGAATATTTCAGTTTTGCAAGTTTTTATGATGTAAGATATTCAAATTTCACTCTTCCCATATACTTATTTATTACCATTTATAATGTTATTACATGATATATATGTAGGGCCTTGAGTGACTTACTCGATACGGAGGAAGTGGCTTCCATCGGATTCATGTGTCCGGAAATGATTTCAGAAACCTATTTGCATAGTGATGCTGATTTTATCCTACTATACATGACACATCTGATGGAAAAACAAAAATCTAAGCAGTTCATCTTATGCCCATACCATGAAAAGTATAAACTTTGAACTTGTATTTATTTGAACTTTGCAAATTATTGATATTATTTTACTCTTTTACAAATGTGTGTCTAATTTATTATATAGGAATCATTGGGTTCTTTTTGTCTTATGCATGGCTAAGCGTGAAGTCATCATCTTTGATTCTTTGAGGCAGAAGCGAAATTTAGCAATTAAGTTTGCAATAACAAAGTAAGTCTAGTTTGATATTAATGTCATGATTTTATGTGTGTAAGGGTAATATATATGTTATTTGTTTCAAATGTGTAGTGCTTTTCGAAGTTTTAAGGCATTAAGTGGACAATCTAGGGGAAGTAAATTGACATGGCATTTGGGACAGGTTACCTTAATTTCTTACCCTAACTTTTAGTTTCTTAATAATTGAAGTATAGCAATTTAATTCAACTTACAAATATATTACATGTAGTGTCCTCAACAATTAGGTGGACGTGATTGTGGCTACTACGTCATGCGTGATATGTACGAAATACTTGAACATCACCATAGTAGTGAAGATCTTATTCAAGTATGAGTTGTCAAATATTTCATTTTTGTTTGATAAATACAATTTGATGTTAGCTACAATCTTGAATTAAAACTTTCCTCTTGTATATTTGTTGTGTTGATAGGATTTTTCAAGAACTACACCGTACACCGAGGAGGAGATAAATGAGATCCGAGATATTTGGGCAGAGTATTTTATATGTAATGTTGAACTTTAGATTTACCACTTAGCGCATGTTTGACTCTTGTTTTGGATTATAGGCTTGAAATGAAGTAATTTGGTTGATTGGTGTTGGGATGATGAGCATAATGTCTATGATATTAAGATGTAAATTATTGGACAGGTTGTTAATATAATGTCGTCATTCCCAATTTTATGGGTAGGCCAAATTACAAAGGAGACTCTGCCGAAATTTACATTTGCATTATTCAATAATATTGCATTTTAATTTCAATTATATTAGCGTTAGCATATTACTTTATACCTAGGAAAACAGGTACTACAAACATATAAGGCAATTATTATATTATAATTAAAAAAAAAATTCACCTCATTTGCGTCACTCATTAAACAAACAAGTGACGTAAATACAGCAGTTTTCTATATAAACAAGTGACGCAAATAACAAAAAATAAGTTTATTGGAAGAGTCATTTGCGTCGCTTGTTTATGAAGGAGCAACGCAAATAACAAAAAAAATTTATCTAAAGAGTCATTTGCGTCGCTTGTTTATAAAGGGGCGACGCAAATGAATAAAAATAAGTTTATCAGAAAACTCATTTGCGTCGCTCTTTTATAAAGGAGCGACGCAAATAACAAAAAATAAGTTTATCTGAAGAGTTATTTGCGTCGCTCCTTTATAAAAGAGTGACGCAAATAACAAAAAATAAGTTTGTCAGAAGAGTTATTTGCGTCGCTTATTTATAAAGGAGCGACGCAAATGACAAAAAAATAAGTTTATCAAAAAAGTAATTTGCGTCGCTTGTTTATAAAGGAGCGACGCAAATGACTCTTATTTGCGTCGCGCCTAGGAGCGACGCAAATGACTTAAATGAGCGACGCAAATAAGCCTTTTTCTACTAGTGTCATCAAAATTAGCACAAACCTCATCAAAATGAGCATAAGGGGGAAAGGTGTCAATTTGCATACTTGGATTATCACAAGGCACATAAGAAGTATCAAGATAATTCATGCAAAAATTAAAAGAATCTTGGCATTGAGAATCAAAGCAAGAAACATGCGATTCTCCATCTAAAGAGTCCCTAGCAATCCATGTGAACAAATCCCAAGCCTCATGAATAGACAAATGACAAAATCTATCATTATTCATGTCCTCAACCATTCCCCTATTATACTCATTCATGCCCCAATAAGCTATACCACAAGCATCACTAGGAGAACACCCATGGTAACTAAGAAAACCATCTAGTCTTTCAAAGTAAGCATATAAGGGTTCACCATCAAATGGAGGAAAAGATAAGCATGCCATTTTTATACAAAGAACAAAGAAAAACAAAAAAAATCAAATAATATACAAGAACCTAGCTAATCTAATCAACACAAACTAATGAACGCCTTAGTCCCCGGCAACGGCGCCAAAATTTTATCGGGGTTAAAAGTAGGTCGTTGGGACTACTAACCCTAACCAAATTAGAAATTTATAATACCTAAACTTACACTAAACTAGTTAGTGGCAAGTAAAGGGTCGAACCCAAAAGGACTAAGTGTATCAATTTGTGCTAATTAGACTACTAGGAAAGCTTGTGAGATAGAGAGAGGTACAACAAAACACAACTAAGAACAAATAACTAAAACTAGGGAAAGTGGAATCCAATTACATTAATACATTCAATAACATCATACAATTAGATGAAAATGACCTTGATTAGGAACAATCAACACATTTAACTCACTCTCGCACAATTAAGCATGTTAATTATCCTACTAAACTAATTAACTCTCGTGCAACTAGTCTAGCAAAGGTATGGTAGAAATTAGGGCTCTCAACCAACTCACTCTCGCACAATCGATTGAAAGCACAATTAAGAACATAGGATCAATTAGCTAGAAAGATTCTAATCCATAAAAGCATCATCCATACACAATAATCAAGAAACAATTCCATACTAATCACAATCAATCATTCAATTTATTAACATAACCTTCATCCATTTCCCTAGAACAAAATCTAAAATAAACTTTGATTGAAAGTTATCTTGAAAATGACCCAAAGAGGATATTTATAATACAAGCTAAAAATAATAAAAAAGAAAATAAAAAGAAATAAAAAAAAAAATAGACAATTAACATACTAAATTAAAAACCAAAAATAAACGAAACAACCGTAAAATAAAATAATAGGAAAATTAAAATGAAAAGGAAAAACCCAAAACCCACTAAAATTCCCACCCAAACCACGAAAACAACCATCAGACTCCTTTCTCATTTCACTTTCGAATTCCCCTGCTCCAATTCAAGCACCCATTCACGCATCATCATCACCGTTCATACTCCATCAACATCAGCAATTATCACTTTGCAGCCGTTCGATTTTCATTAAGAGTCACGCGCGAAGCTCGTGAAATGGTTCGGTCGAACCATGGGTTGGTGCGGCCGAACTACGGGGTTGGTTCGGTCGAACCATGGGTGTGTTCGACCACACCTCTTCAATTTACAAAACTCTGAAAGTTTCTGACTCGTACCTCGACCGAACTCTCAACGGTTTGCTCGAACTTGTTGATGCTTGTGCGAATTGATTGATTGGAGCTGCGGGAATTGGAGTTGAGGTGCTGGTGCGGATTGGTGGTGGATACGGAGGCTAATTGTTGCAGGTGGACGGTGTGGCTGGGTTATTGTTGATGTGCGTGGTTGTTTGTGGTAGAGATGGAGCAGGGGAGATGCGTGAGTTGGATTAAATGGGGGGGGGGATGTTTCGAGGTAATGGTGGTTCAGGTGGTTGATGTTGTTGCGTGAAGGTGAGAAGAGGAGAGGGAAATCAGGGGAGTGTGGTGGTTATGGTTGCGGTGTTTGGTGGTGTTGGTTGCGGTTTATGGGAGCAGGGGTTGTTGGTGGTTGTTGCTGGCGGATTGGTGGCTGGAGGTGGTTCTTGGTGTGAGGGGAGTTGAGTCGCTGTTGTTGTTCTTGAGTGGGGCTGTGTGTGACGGTGTTGTGTTGTGCTGGGATTGGTGGGAGTGCGTGGCAGGTTGTGAATTGAGTTTGGTGGTTGCGGTTTTGTGTGGTGGTTTATGGTGGTTTTGGCGGTGGACCTCGGACCTTGAACCCGATCGACCACGGACCCGAAAACACCTACAACCAAAAACAACACGAGGGGATTTTTAAAATATAAAATAAAATAAAATAAAATAAGATAAATAAAATAAGATAAGATAAATAAAGTAAAATAAAATGCTAAAACAAAATAAATAATAAAATAAATTGAAATTAAATAAAATAAAACAAACTAGAAACTAAAAGAAAATAAAATAAATAAAATGAGAGAAGCGGGAAATTATTAACTAAAACTACAAAAATAAACTAAAAACTAATAAAAACTACTAAAATACTCAAAATAAAGATAAAAGACGAGAATAAGCAAATAAAAGAAATAAAAAACAAAATGGGCTAAATTATTGTAAAATAAGCCGGAAAGCGACTCAATAAACACCCTAAAAGTGACATAAAAGTCACTTATCAGTACGACTTTACCCTGTCACCAGATGACCACCAGACGGCGTCCAAGAGACGGTACTTTGGAAGTACCGTCCAATGAGATAACCCCGGTTGAGGGGTCTGAGAGTAATGAAGGCTCA